GTGTACTTGGTTAGCATACAAAACAATTTGCCTATTACGCTTTAAAACAATCATACATATTTATTCTTTCTGAAAATAATATTTTATAATCCTATTTACTCTTTTACATCTAATAGCATCTGACATGTCAACATGTAATTTTGACACATGTATGATGCATTGGACTTGGTTAGCATAAAAAAAACTTTGCCTATTGCGCTTTAAAACAATCATACATATTTATTCTTTCTGAAAAATAATATTTTACAATCCTATTTACTCTTTTACATCTAATAGCATGACATGTCAACATGTAATTTTGACACATGTATGATGCATTGGACTTGGTTAGCAAACAAAAACAGTTCTTAATTACTGTAGCCTGACAGGCAAAAACAATTAAGACTCTAATAAGAGTGCCGAAGCTAAGCAATTTATTATTATTTTGCTAACAAGCTTGTCTGTAAGCTGAATGTCATCTTCTAATCATTATGTTTAATCACTTATTATCAGATATAGTTTAATGGCTTCAGGGATCATGATTTCCGCATGACATTTGCCTCTCTTTATTTGTTTCACTGAGCGTTCAATATTTGCTTGGCAGTGTGATCATCATAAAACAACAATCATTACACAAATGGTTGGTATTTGTGGTGATCTGTCAATAATATTTTGCACATTGTTTGTAACTTTTTAATTTGCCATCAAAATATTGAATTGGTGGATTCCGTCAATGGTAACTTTTTAATTTGCCATCATGATATCAAAATACTTAATTCACTTGTTTGGTCATACCAATGTTATTTATATAAAAACAAACCCATCCAGTCGTTCAGTTAATATACTATATTATGGTCAACCTGGTCAAACACTGTTCGAAAACTCAATTTACAATCTGCCTGTGTGTACATGTACATGTATGCTCATATTGATTTATTGATTTAAAACTATATGAAAACTAAATGTTAATATAAAATTGTGCTAGATTTAACACTAAACTTATACATGTAGTGATTGAAACAATAACATATTGTTAAAGTATATTTTTAAAAAAGTACTGGTCAAAATGAACTATTTTACCTTGGTCTGTCCAGTAGATTAAAAATACATGTACATGTGGATAGTACATGTATTTTCTTTTGCCTGCGCAGGAATCATTAGTTCTTAATTTGAAAACCTTTTTTCATTCAAGGTATAAAATACAAAATTGCATCAGCAATAAAAATGATAATGAATTGCAAATGTCAAAATAAGGCCTGTTTCCCATGTATGTGTTTTCACAGTGTTTCCTTGCACTGCGAACAAGCCTGTCTAATTCAAATGTAATGGGACCGATTCCATGCAACTGGCAAAAATGTGTAAATGGAAAGCGAGGCTAATGGTTACTTGGTACACTTCTGACATACCCGTTCGTAAGTTATCTGCCCTTCAGTATGGCTGAGGATGAAAAAAGACGACGCATGTCACATGATACAATATTTTACTTTATGTCACCCACAGCGAAACACAATCCACCATCGAACCATAGATAATTGAAAGCAAATGTTTCTATGAGTTAACTGTCTTACTCATCCTCACTTGAATCATTGGAATACTGCCATATGTTTTACTTTTGTTTTGCATTCAGACCGGTAGAGGTATCCCTTGTGGGAAAAACACAACCACTTTTGGAAGGATGTGTTTATGATAAATATCAGTATGGAAATTATATACTATTATGTATGTATCTATGACTGACAAGAAGGCTTACCCTGGTTGCTACACATAATTCAATATTCTGATAAAGATGCATTATGTAAGATTGGATGACCGAATGGTTAGCGTGTACGTACTGTATCATAAGGTCTGTCATTGAGTCAACAGGCATGGTTTTGATTCCCTGGTTGTACGTGACAAGGAGTAGGGTCGCTTGCTACCTCGTGTGTTTTTTCCGGGTCCTCCGGTTTTCTCCCACTGTTAAAGACCCCTACGCGCAAGCGAATTATTGAAATAAAATTAAACCATATGTTAGTCCCGAAATGACCTAGTTTGTGTTGAGTGGACGTTAAACCCCATTTCTCTCTCTCTCTCTCTCTCTCTCTCTCTCTCTCTCTCTCTCTCTTTATTATTGTAGGAAGCTGAGATTTTGTCATTTTATCATTAAATTTTTAAATCTCTCAGGTGTTAAAATCCATCTAAATCTCTGCCATCCAATGTTCTAGAGAGTCAATTATAGGCTTGTCATCTGAATAAATATCTAAATGATAATTAATCATTTCAAGCCAAAAGAGAGAATTGCAATAGGCAGATTATGTATAGGATATTAACCTACCCGAGGTTGATATGGTAGAGAACGCGCGGGCGAAGCCCAAGCGTTCTCTACCATATCAATCCGAGGGAGAGTAGGTTTATATCCGACATATACAACGCCATTTCACCCTTAAATTTAATGTGCTCTTCCATTAAAAGGCAACAATGATTGGATAATTGCTCGATAGTTTCCGCCAAATAGCGAAAATTACCAAGTAATCACGTGCAATTACGTGCATGTTTTTGTTTATACGTCGCCATTTTGGACTATTGAATTGAAAGCAAAAACAAAATGGATAGTAATACGAAGTCAGACGAATAATCAATTCTTTTTAGCCAACATATTGACGATGGAATAGATGTGAAAGCAAATATCGACGAGGATCTATCCAAAGCCTGCAGAAAATTTGGACCAAAAGGCATTCTTTTCCAAGAATTCTGACAATGAACCATGATTGAAGGTTTTCGGTATGTTCAGAGAAGGATTTGACCGACTGTTTTAAGTGGACTGTACCCAAAAATACTTTACAAAGGAACTCTTGAGCGATAAATACTTTCAAGTCTTGTAGTGTGTGGAGAAATAATCGCAATGGGTACGAAAAGGAAATTCTGAAAGATGTCTTAGACATGGATAACCGATCTAAATACATGTATGTCGATAAGTACGCCGTCTATTTCGGTCCTGAATGTTCGAGACTGTACCATAAATTTTAATTGTCAAAAGAATAAAAATTTATTTCTGTGTTTTTTTTGGATTATTTCGATCATCTACGTCATCAGCGGTTGATATGAGCCGAATATATTGACCTGAGATGACGTCATTAGCGGTTGATATTTCATATCAACCTGTCATGACGTCATCAGCGGTTGATATGAACGAATATATCAACCTATGATGTTGTCATGACAGGTTGTTATGAGATATAACTGCTAAAAGTAAAAACTACCGCCAGTTGTATATATATATATATATATGTAGCTTTTACATAATGCATAGTCTCTTACATAATGCATAGCCTCTTGTCGCTGGTTTGAAATGAAAGGTTTAGATATTAGATGATGAGCATACAATCATTATGTAAAATGAAAAATAGCACAGCATACATGTATGTGAGACTTCTGATCCTTTAGCTAAAGTCAAGTCTTTTGGAAAAAGACAAAACTTAAATTAGATTATTACATTGTATTAACCTGTATTACACAAACCCTGAAGGCCATTCTAATTAAGGCCATGTTGAATTGATTCCTTGTTTCTCCTGCCACCACTCTGGCAATCATATGCGGTAGTGTGGTAAACACAACACAAAATTGGTTTCAAAACACAAAGTGGTCTTGCATAATATCTATAGTCTAAAGATTGAGTACCATTTTTAATATTATAAATAATCTACTTATATTATTGGTTAGAAGAATAAAAACACAGATAATATGTAATTGAATAAATTTAATAACAGACTAAAATTTTGTAACAAGTGGCTTTTTGTTTAACTTTTTAAAATACGAAATAACCATATTTTGATATAAACTTTTTGTATTCTTGTGTTACAATACAATGGAAACATTTCAGTTAGAAGAAATTTGATTAGCTTGCTGAGTTATACACAGTTTCGACAATATCATCGAACGTGAAAGTGCTGGGAATACTCACCGAGTCTAGTTGAGATAGGTAAATTCGCATACCGGTAATTTATTGATCTTTAAGGAAATATTGGTTCCGTTCGTTCGTTTATGGAGTTTAACGAACGAACAAACAAACGGGACCACTATTATTTCCTTGAAGATTAATAAATTACTGGTACGCGAATTTACCTATGTCCCAGCATCGCTAACCATTTTGTAGACGTGCGTAATTTAGTACACAAGATATGATTGGACTATACATGTACATGAATAATAATGACGTGTGTTATGATTTTAGCCAATGAACAAATTGATTATTCTGGTTCGCGGTTGAATATTAGCGACTGTCATTAGCCGAATTGACCGCTACACGCGTCATTTTGCGGAAATCATCGAATCAAATACAGTGTAACTTATTCCAGGGTATGCGGGCCCCTACATATGTATTATTAACATCTTTAGTTCGTAACAGGGAATAAACAACGAGAATTGACTTCTGATGTTTGGTAGAGTTTTATTTAGATGTTATTAACGTAATTTTTTGAATATTTTTTTCTTTTGTGTGTTAAAATGGTAAGCGCACGATTTTCGGGTCCTCGACTTAAGCATGCGGGCGAGGAGAAACAAGGAATCAATTCAACACTTGGGGCATGCTCTAGTCCAACATAGATTATTTGCTTGTACTTTTATATTATAAATGAAATGTATTAGGAGCCATGGTGGCTAAGTGAGTAAGACGCTGGCTCGCTAGCCTGAAGGTCGCCGGATGCGCTCCTGGTGTTGGCCAAGAAAGTTCATTAAGATTTTCCAACTTGGTTTCCCCTTTTCAGTGGTGCAGGACAGAGGGCCTAAGAAGGACAGTTATCTATTTGTTTGGTTGGTGCCGAAAAAACGAGGTCCTGTGTACACATTGGACTGCACATAAAAGATCCCTTGGAATTCGATATAAGGTTAGACCATAGCGCCACTGTCCGGGCAAAATTGCACTCATAGCACACAGTATGGCATATGCCTGTCTTCATTAGACCAGTCGAAACAGAACAGTAGGAGGTTAAACCCCATTTCATTTTATTTTATATATCACTATATTATTTTCATATTTTTACTTCCAGGTTTTTTCAAGAGAACAGTACAAAATAAGAAAGTGTATTCGTGTGTGGATAATAGAAGCTGCCATATTGACAAGAGTCAGAGAAAACGATGTCCATATTGTCGCTTTCAGAAATGCCTCTCTGTAGGAATGAAATTAGAAGGTATTTGATATGTGTTTATATATACTTGTATATTTGTGACTCATTTGTTAAAAGGGGAGCCATGGTGGCTCAGTGAGTAAGACGTTGGCTCACTATATCGGGAGACCCCCCGTGTTCGATCCCTGCATTGTCTGAGAAAGTTCATCTGGATTTTCCGACTTGATTCCTCTTTGTCAAGTTGTGTAGGATGGGTTAAAAAAAAATGAAGTCCCATGTACACATTGGCGTGCACGTGAAAGATCCGTTAGCAGTTTGAATTCGATATAAGAGTAGGCCATAACCTTATTTTGACAGTCCAGTTTCAGTCCTTCACGTTTACGAAATGGTGCATGAGCTGAAAAAAAACTACCGCCAATTTATAACAACTCTTTTTATTTATATTGCAAGATAATTCTACATTGTTATTTATGCGTTAGTTTTGTCTCATATTCTTTTTAATTATGTCATTTATATGTTCCTCGTATTTTCGTCAGTTTGATCACTTTGTCTGTCAGCGTGATTAGCGCACAAATTGCACTGAAGACCAACCCAATTTTGCAAACCCATTTTTGTCCCCCACCGTGATTAATTGCCCTCTAAATTTTTTTAAAAATGTCGCATACTTGACAGTTGTGACCACCTCCAGAGGTATTGCTAGTGATAATCAATGCAATGCCAATGGGACAAGCGGTACACGAAAACATTTTAAACAACGTAATGTTATTATAAGACGTACTTCATTCTGTCATTCCCGTGGATATTCTTCATCAACATCCGGCAACATATTGGGCTGTCAAGTAACATTGTATTCTATTGGCTGATTTTAGACTTCTATCCAATTACAACGAGCCTTACATTAGCATTCAGTATTAAATATGGCAGCCCAAGTTTTACCATGGAAACGCTCATTGCTTGGAGGAGGTCAGTCAGAAAACTGCAAGTACGGTAGTTTATGAATCGCAATATTTAGGAGAGCTATTTAGCTAATTTGCGAGCGTATTTAATGACTCCCCCGTAGTTAAGTCGAGGTGGGTTGGGAGGCGTAAGAGCGAAAGCGCGCCTTAAACTTGAAGGACTGCAGTTTCAGTTTCATTTTATACTTTTTATGTCATTGTACTGTCCATCTGTCAAAAAATTGGCTACAGTTTTTATACGCCTACATTTTCATGTGGACATATATTGTCGTCACCCCTGTCCGTCCATCCTTCCACAGTTTGTTTGTTGACACTCTACAGGGCACAATTCTTATCCGATTTTGATGAAACTTGAAATATAGGTTTATCTCCAAAACATCTCGGTTCCTTTCAATATTGGCATGTATTGGATGGAAACTTTATGGATTTTGGCCCCAGATTGTACGAAAAATCATGTTTTAAACTTGTGGACACTAGCGGTCACAATTTTTATACAATTTAGATGAAATTTTAAATGTATGTTTATTACCTAAAGATACCGGTTCTTTTCTATATTCATGCATATCAGACCTCAACTTCCTCGATTATGGCCCCTGATTGTACGAAAACCAGTATCACAGCGCAATTTGTGATACATATTTTGTCTGTTGCTAATCAAAAAACTAACTTTTTTGATTCAAACTAACTGCCTGTCATTTTGAATATTGACACAATGATTATCCACATTTTGAAGACTAGAAGGCTTTCTCAACACTTTCAAGGTGTTTAAAATGTCAAATAAAATTTTATAAATAAAACTGAATTCTCCGTGTGACATTTTCTTCTAGAACTACCCAGACACAATACTATATAATACAAGGACATAGCTCTATGAATAGGGACTATTAAACCGGAAATAGGGAATCAAGTAGTACCACTCACTTTGCGAGACATGTCAGTTTCAAGTAATTATATCAGTATTCATTTTGAAAGAAATAAATCCAGTGTGTACCCCACATATTGTAAATAAAATATAAAAAAATAAACACATGTTAACGTTTTGTAAAATGATAAATGAAAGTAAGAATTCCCGTAAAATATTATTGTTTATATCACATGTTCTAGTTAATCGAGGTGTGTCTGATTGAACAAAAATAATAATACACGATAAAAAGCAAACAAAATTGTTTTCTAACAAATATTTCTAACGTAACGAAGGAATAACGCAATTAAAATGAGTAGGGGTTCAGAAGCCACTGCCAGGAATTGACTTCAGACATAAGACCTAACCAAAAGTCTACATCACATTCACAAACTGTCACAACTACATGTGGCAGTGCTAAAAATTTGAAGAGAGAGAGAGAGAAATGGGGTTTAACATCCACTCGACACAAACTAGGTCATTTCGGGACTACCATATGGTTTAATTTTATTTCAATAATTCGTTTTCGTGTAGGGGTCTTTAGCAGTGGGAGGAAACCGGAGGAAAAATTTGTAGGAGATCTAATCATTTGTTATGCATTAAAGTAATATCTTGTTATTTAGGTGTTTTATGTTGAAACTGAAAAACTGCTAATCAGTTTTTAAATTTGCTAATCAAATTTGGCAAAATTGGACTTTTTGATTAGCAGTGCTGCTAATCAACTGTGAAAAATTACCGACAGCCCTGAAACTGCCAGACAAAATGGCCACTATTTGTACGTAAATAGTGTTAAAGTATGTAGTTTCAAGGTTGTGGACCCTCTAGAGGTTACAATCCGATTTTGATGAAACTTAAAACATGTGTTTTATGTCCCAAAATTTGTGCATATCGGATCATAAGTTCCTGGATTATGGCCCCTGATTGTACAAAAAATTCCTTTTTTTTGTTTAGCTCCGTCCATCTCTTGCAAAATGTGGGCGTATCTTGCATGGCAACCGCTTGTTGACAGATTCTTTTCAGATTGGGTGTGACTTTCAATTTCAGAGTTATCCGCCCTCTGCCGACATGTCAAATTTTATCAATGTCCGAGTTTTCTTTACAGATACATGTAAGCTGCTGTCGACACCAGTGAAGGTGTTTCAAAATTTTTCTTGTCAGCCATTTTTACCGAAAATAAAGGGGCATAACTCTTATTGTTATTTAAGCAGGTGGTTTCAGACCACATATAAAAATCATGTGTCAACAAAATATTCAAATTCGTACGTACAGCTGTAATAAAAAAAAATAGGTGTGCCTCGTTATTTTTCATATTTAATTCCCATATGGTATTCAAATTTATGTCAGTAATATTCCTACAAAATTACGTGTCGTCGTAATATGATAGAATGAAAGCGTGCCGACTACTGTCGACCCATACCTTTTTTCAAAATGATCTCCAAAATTACCATATTTTTTGGGGTATAAGTCGATACTTTTTTCAACAGAAGTCCGGCATTCATCTTATACTACGTTTTGACTTCTAATACGGATGGAGGTAAAAAAAAAAGGCATCCCGAAAATTTTTGGCAGTGACCGTTGCTGCACGATACCAAACCAGTGACATCATTTGCTAAATTATAGCACTCGCACGTGCTATCGTGTAAAACAATTAACTACTTACATGTACACTGTTTCAATCGAAATATTTGTCGACATTTCTCAGCTTATTTATTTCTTTTTTTTTAAAAACATAAGCCCCCATTCAAAATATTACATACCCAAGAATATGCCATCAAAATAGAATCTTTTCTCCAACGTGATAATTGTCACGTTTACATCTCTTGTAGTTTCACACGTCTCATGAGATTTCTACTTTAGTTTTCAATTATTGTATTATAACCGCGTGTGGGTGTTTGTGTAAAATAGCTTTATATAATGTCCGCTTCCACTGAAGTGATATCGCAGACAAATTAACGGACATATTGATTTATAAGTTAACAGGATAATTGTCACGTTTACATCTCTTGTAATTTCACGCGTTTCGCAAGATTTCTCCTTTAGTTTTCGATTATTGTATTGTAACCATGTGTGTGTGTTAAATGGCTTTATTTAACGTCCACTTCCACCGAAGTGATATCGCAGACAAATTAACGGATATATTGATTTACAAGTTAACGGATAATATATTGATTTGAGGTGTTATATACTCTTACAATATGTGACATCTATGATTAGTTTATACTAGTTTATACATATTGTCGGCTCACATCAATGGGATTAAAATATCCGACAGTGGAGAAACCACAAGGTAAACACGTAGATTAAAATCTTAATCACTCTTATTGGATTTGATGAATAGTCCGACAAAGGGGAAGCAACGACTTCTGTTTAAGATCAGATTGATGAATTGTCCGACAAGGGATTAAGTCAGTCAATCAAGGCAGATTAAGTAGTTAATCAAGGTAGGTGTAGAGACAGTATAACACGATAAATACGTTGATCACTTAATTACCTAATCAATCCAGCCTATTATCAACGATAATCGGGTTGAGTGGTAGTTATACACTCAGTACACTATATTAATTTTGGAATTTTGAATATTATTCATCATGTCTTGATGTCCGATTTGGCATATTCCTGGTCGGATAAGTTAGGAAGTTTGGAAAATAGTGCCAGAAATGTCCGGAATATAGGGGCGAAATCCCATCTCTGGTCGACACATTACTGCTGTGTGGGTCTAGTCGTCGGGAGAAACCCTATTGTACATGTACAGTACATTGTATGTCAGTTTACACATGAATTATATGTAGCGTTATTGTCAATTCAACTTTGTACATGTAAATGTGGGGGAGTTGTAGTTCAAAGGGGTGAGGAAGGATTAAACACCCACATTGAAATTACTTTCGGTTTTGTTTTTTTTGTACCATGAACCACTTTTGAAAAATTTGAATCTTCTTGTGGCTAAAGTTGTCATCTCATTCTTTGGAAATTTGCACCACATTGTTTACATGTATGTTTATGAGATGATGAAGTATATTGACTTTGCATGTTTCTCGATTATTGCCCCTGATTGTAGGAAAAATATTGTTTTTTATTACCGTAGCTTGTTTTCTGTCCATCTCTAGCAAAATATAGGTGTATCTTGCATGGCAACCGGTTGTTAACTATTATAGCAAGAACTGTGAGCTCTTTATCTAAATCTTACATAATACATTTTTACTAATAAG